AGAAACCCTTGATTTAATTAGTCCTCAGTATAAAAACATAACTCAAAATTGATAATGTACTTAAATGTAAAATGTAGGGGCACCTGGGTGGCTCAGTCAGTTAAGCATCTGCCTTTAGCTCAGGTCATGATCCCGGGGTCCTGGGATCGAGCCCGGTGATGGGTTCCCTGCTCAGTGGAGAGCCTGCTTCTCCCTCTCCCTCTGCTGCTTCCCCTGCTTGTGCTCTCTCTCTCTCTATCTCTATCTCTCTGTCAAATAAATATATTTTTTAAAAATGTAAAACATAAAACTATAAAACTTTCAGGGAAACACACAAAAAATTTTCAGGGTATCGGGCTAGGCAAAGAGTTCTCATATTTGACACCAAAAACACAATCCATAAAAGTAGAAACTTAATAAATTTATCCAAAAACCCACATCACATCACATCCATGAAAAAATGTTCAACATCAATGATAAACGGGGACATGCTCATTAAAACCATAATGAAGTATTACCATATACCCATTAGAATGACTAAAAAACAGTGAAAACACCAAATGCTGTGAGGATGTGGAGAAAATATTACTCACTCACACATTGCTGGTGTAAATGTAAAATGATACAACCACTCTAGAAAATAGTTTGGCAATTTCTTTAAAAATTAAACATGTGATTACCATACAAGTCAGCCATTGCACTCTTGGGTATTTACCTCAGAAAAATAAAAATTTTGTTCACACAAAAAGCTATACCCAAATGTTCATAGTAGCTTTATTCATAATAACCAACAATTGGCAACAATGAAGATGTCTTTCAACAGGTTAAGTGATTAAACAAACTATTGTATATCCATGCAACAAAATACTAATCTTCAGTAAGAAGGAATGAACTACTGGTACACAAAACAACTTGGATGAATTTCTAGGGAATCATGCTGAATAAAAAAAAAGCCAATCCTAAAATGTTACATGCTACATAATTCAATTAATAACATTTTGAAATGGCAAAATTATAGAAATAGAGAACAAATTAGGTATTAGGATGGAGACTGGGTGGGATCCTTGTAGTGACCAAACTTTTTTTTTCTTGACTTGAGTAGTGGTACATGAGTACGTGTGATAAAATTATATTGAACTAAACGCGCACACACACACACACATACACAAGAATGCTCGTAAAACTGGGGAAATCTGAATTAGATTGGTGGTTATCTCAATAACCTCTGTGATATTGTACTATAGCTTTTCAAGATGTTACCATTTGGGGAACTTGGGTAAAGAGTACACTGGATTGCTCTGTGCTATTCTTACAACTGCATGTGATATACAATTACCTCAAAAAATTTTTCATTAAAAAGAGGCTACACAGAACTCACTGAGAGCAAGTAGGAAGCAATCTAGGCCTTCTTTATCCTCCCTTAAACAGAGATCGGTATTTTTATTGGTATATATCCTTAGGACTTTAAAAACCACTCATGTTGCCACCTGTGTTTTGCCAACACCTCCTCTATGAAGTAAAATGTACATAAGGCTTTGAAGTACTATAATTTTCAAGAAGTAGTAGCAGAAAGAAAAATATCTTCAAACACCATGTTGGAGTAGAAAGAAGCTAAGGATCTGAATTAATTGTCCATGGTTTCTCAGCAAAATATCAAGCTTTTGAGGAAAAGATTAGGCAGCAGTTTTAAGAGAAATTTTTTTCTTTTTCTTTTTCTTTTCTTTTCCAAGATAATTTGATTCAGTGATTAGAATTTAGAATAAAAAAGACAAAGAACAAAAGATGAAAAGGGGCAGTAGACTCAGGATCCTGGACTCAAGTGTCAAATCTGCTACTATCCATGTGAGTGTGGGCAGTCCAATTCAATCTGTTTGCATCTCCATTTCCTCGTAAAAATTAAAGCATTAGACCAAATCCCAAGATCCCTTCCAGCTTGAAAATATTCTATGATCCTACAAGATTTGAAACGTTGATGAGAGTTGTTTCATCCCATTCCTTCATTAGACTTAATTTAATAAGGTTCTCCATGGTAACTTCAATTGGCAATCCAAGCATTCCCTTCAGCTGTGTAAATGATGCCCCTAATTCCAATATAACTTTTCAGGTTTCCTTACCAAGTCTCTAAGTGCTAATTAACTTTGAAGCAGCTCTCCAAAACAGTCTCCATTACAATTTAGACCAAACTGCCTTTTTTTTTTTTTTTAAGATTTTATTATTTTTCAGAGGGGGAGAGAGAGAGAGAGCACACGTGCATGCACAAGCAGAGGGAGCGGCAGGCAGAGGGAGAAGCAGGCTCCCTGCTGAGCAAGGAGCCCGATGGGGGACTGAATCCCAGGACCCGGGATCATGACCTGAGCCGAAGGCAGACGCTTAACTGACTGAGCCACCCGGATGTCCCTATCCGTTGCCTTGAGTTCTTTTTCATTCATTCCACTGAATGAAAGAATTTTAAAGTGCAAAGAGCCTGGAGAGAGTTTCAACCATACAGCAGCTTCAAGTTTTAGGGGCTAATGCTTTTGAGGATCTTGCTTAATAGTCTTCTGGGGCTCAGATCTCACCATTTTCAAGATAAAAGTTACCCTTGATACAGTGCAAAATGTTTTTGTTATACAACTCTTACTTTCTTTAATAGACCACCCAGTTCCTTGAGAAAATCTAGATTAGGCAAACTCAGTGGTACTCGTCTCTTCCTACCACCTGATACCTACCCCCTGACAAAAACCTTAAGGACCTTACTGAATCTCCAAGTCAGAGCCTATTTTTCAAGGGGCAAATCTGGCTGTTGACCACAACTCAATGTATGGTGTCTTTTCATGATGTTGTGAGGTGCCTACTATGAAACTAGTCTGCTGTATTAGTCAGGTTTTCTACATTAATGCTGTTTAACAAACAAAGACTTCTCCCTATCCCTGCTCCCCCTCCAATTCTCAGTACCTTACAACCACATAAATACAAATATTTCTTTCTTTCTTACAGGTCTACAGGTCAGCTCTTGGTCAAATGGACTTGACTGCCTTGGCTCCTAGCTATAAGTGATTGCTTGTCTATTTTGCACATTTCTTTATTCTGGAACCAGCATCTATTAAACATTTAATTTTTTTTCCATGACAGAGGACAGGTTTACAAGAGGGCTGGCAATAACTTTCCATGTTTCTTTAAAGCTTATAGCTGAAAACTGTCATACTCTCAATTCTGCCCACATTTTATTGACTAAAGCAAATCATATGACAAAGCCAAACATTAGTGCATACAGGAAGTATATTCTATACATGAGGAATCCATGACAAGGACAGGGAGGGAAAGAAGAATTGTAAGCAAATAATACCATATATCACTTTTGCTTACCACTATAAAGAGAAAAAAGTAAATTCAACTACTACCACTCCAATATGTTAAAGGCATTTGTTTTTCACCTTCCTGTTAGAGTGAGAATCTGGGTTTTAGAAACATACTCTTAGTTCCAATGATCTTGTCATTCTTTCTCCCTGCCTAGACTCAGAGAGCCTAGTCCAACAGCCTGGGCTGACATCCTAGTGCTCCAACAGTGTAAGGTGAGAAAGAGCCTCTGACTTGGAGATCCAGTGAAGATACTTAGGGTATGGGGCATGGATGGGGATCAGGTAGTGTGAGGAGATGAGTACCACTGAGAGTTTTCCTAGCCTTGATTTTCTTAAAGAACTAGGTAGCCTAATCAAGAGCCACAAAAAAAGGAGAAAATTTTGTACTGTATCAGGGTAACTCTAATCTTGAGAATAGTGAGATGTGAGCCCCAGAAGAATATTGAGCAAGATCCCTCAAAAGCGCTAGCAGGAAAAAAGCCTTGAAGCTGCTGTATGATTGATAAACTCTCCAGTAAGAGTGTCTACACCTTAAAATGAAAAATAGCTTTTCTGCACTCCTAGTTCCATTCCCTCCCATTCTCTCAACTGAGATTCAAAAAGATGTAACTGTTTTCAGAGAACATTAGGTCAGAGTTTACACAAATCTTTTACGTGGTTGACTACCAACACTTACCAGGCTCAGAACTGCCACTAAGGAGTATTTTAGAAACTTGGGGGTGATTTTTAATTTTCACAGTGAATTGAAGATAACACAAACATTTGGTAAGCCAGGGATGATAGATTTCTTACAAGGAGCAGTACACTGACATACAACAACTATTCTATAGTCCACATAAGTTTCTAATGTCTTACCAGTCTTGTAGAAGAAAATCCCATTTGTACGTATTTATACCTAGAACCTAACTCCATGGCACACAAAGTGTTTTTTGCAAGGTGTTAATTTGCACTGAATTTTCTAGAAATGCAACCACTGTACAAATTAAAGAAAGACTGTATTTTTTTCCTGAGCTTTGTTTGAAACTTTACCAAGAGTTGTTTACCTTTCAGGAAACCAATATTCCTGAGGCAATGCTGCATATGTATTTGAGTCATCAATACAACACACTTGTATCATTCTGCAGCTTTAGCTGCTCTATTCACATTGATTATAATAATTGATCCAAGCAATGGACATCATGTTTTAAAGTGCAGTCATGCTTAAATGTATATTGAAACATATTATAAATTACATATTTCTATATAATGTATTATATTTAATAAAACATATTGAAACTACTTTCCTTTTATTGCTCCTTTATATTACAGCTTGGATATTTTATTGCTTTTTAAAAATTTATCTATGTAAGCAGATTACATTATATATGAATTACATTTCAGGGTAATAAAGAGGGCCTACAAAGTTGTTATAAAAAGGGAACAGGTTTTGATAGGTTTGAGAATGCCCCCCCTCTATGCCATCCTGCTGTTTGCTTTCCCCCTATCTTGTCTCTAAAAATAATGCATAATCAGTGTCACTTTTTTTGCATTTGAATTATTATATTAAATATTATTCTCATGTGATTCACTCACTGTTTTGAATATTAGTAGATTTTGGGGGGGGTTATTTTATTTTTTATTTTTATTATTATGTTCAGTTAGCCAACATATAGTACATCATTAGTTTTTGATGTAGTTTTTTTTTTAAATAGGGAACACTTCATGAATTTGCCCGTAATCCTTGCGCAGGGACCACGTTAATCTCTGTATCATTTCAATCTTAGTATATGTGCTGCCAAAGTGGCACTTTGCAATTTTTAATATTCTCATTCCTGTATGATATTCCATTATAAAAATAAACTATAATTCACTTATCTATACTACTCTTATCCCCCCAGTTTCAGTGAGAAATAATTAGCATATATCATTGTATAAGTTTAAGCAAACAGCATGATGGTTTTCAGTGTCAGTTCTTGATTAACAATTTAGAATTGTAAATTAATGAAATCAAATTTAATGAAGCAATCCTGATAAATGTCTAGTTTATCCTCAGGTCCAAAAATTCAAGTGTCAAGAATTTTTTCTCTTAAATATGCTTTTTACAAAATGCTTTTGACCCATTCCTTTTCTCCAGGTTTTCCCTTCTCTAAGCCATTATATCTTAGCCCTAATCATTATGTGTTAAAAGATCTTTCGGGGGCACCTGGGTGGCTCAGTTGCTTAAGCGTCCGACTCTTGATTTTAGCTCAGGTCATGATCTCAAGGCTGTAAGATCGAGCCCCGCACCGGCTCTGCACTGGGCATGGAGCCTGCTTAAGATTCTCTCTCTCCTTCTGCCCCTCCCCCATTTATCTCCCCCTCTTTAAAAAAAAAAAAAGATTTTTCAGAAAAACCCACAAGCTAATCTGTATTTTGTCCAACAGAAAACTCATTCTATAATAATTTGAATGCTTAACACAAACTTTCTGATTTCTTATTTCATTACTTCTATTCTTCTGCTATTAAATGTTGTATCTGATTTATCTTGCCTATCACTTAAAAGGTCCTATTCCTTTCTTACTGAATGTTTAATTTTCATGATCATCTGGATTAATATCATTGCTTTGAAAGAAAGCCATCTTTATTCTATCTGAATCATCCTATATGAGTTTCATCCCAAATTATCTTCCGCTACACCAGCCAAATATGCTAGGTCAAATGTTAAATACTGGGTAGGAGGGAGGTAAAAAATTAATAATCTTTTCTTCTGTTTTCAAGGGGCTTATCCTCATAGTTACACCAATCTGTACCCCCATTTCTTTTTTTTTGTTTTTTGTTTTTTAAAGATTTTATTTATTTATTTGAGAGAGAGAAACAGCATGAGAGGGGAGAGGGTCAGAGGGAGAAGCAGGCTCCCCGCTGAGCTGGGAGCCTGACGTGGGACTCGATCCCAGGACTCTGGGATCATGACCTGAGCCGAAGGCAGTCGCTTAACCAACTGAGCCACCCAGGCGCCCAGTACCCCCATTTCTTAACAAGACATAGAGAAGACAACAGTATTTGTACACATAGCAATATCATTAAAAGCCCACACACCAGCACATTAGTTTCTCACACAGTTTTTTAGTTCTTAGCATCATGGTTTGACATTTTCAGAAACTCAGTAGAACCTGAAAAAAATAAGACTGAAGAGTGTAAGTGTCCAAATCCAGCACTATAAAAAATGGAAATACATGCCATGAATGTACTGTTGAATAAAATGAGTTGAACTGCTTGCGCATTTCATTTAAATGGCCATTGCTTTCCTTCTCTGCTTATTTGCTGTTCAATGATTATATATGAATCCCAGGCCAAAGACGTAAGTTTCAAATAATAATTATTGCCTAGGGACGAGGGGGTTGTCTCAGTTTTGCAATAAAATAAATAATGGGTTTATAAAGATTACCCATATATTTGTATGTCTTTGTCTGGAACTTATGCCTTAGTCCAATTTATAAGCAAAAATTATGCCATCTTAACAGATGGCCCTACATGTAAATAAATAAAAGAACAGAAAGAATTGGTATAGTATTACTAGGGTTCCTATATAATGGCACACTTAGAGAGAAAGAATAGAGAGAAACTATATAAACTCAGAGATTAAGAAAAGCATCGCTATGCTAAGTATTTATTAGAATCACCTGCAGAGATTTAAAAACCTATACCAATGATTCTAATTTAGCTAATCTGGGGAGTGGCTTGGGTACTGGGATTTTTTTAAAAGGTCCCCAGTGATTCCAAGATATGGCCAATGTTGAGACCTACTGCACTAAACAAAACCTAAAACACAGCTCTGTTACCAATCATATTTAACTGGATATTTAAGGTAAATTATTTGAAAGATAATTTTCTCAAAGCAAAAAGCAATTCTGTCAGCATAATATTCTTCACAGCTGTAGCTAATAATACACAGTTTATTCCTGACTATGATAATAACTCATTTTATCAAGATAATTTTGGTCAAAAAACTATGAGGTATAACATATTTCTTTCTATCCTCATTTTTTAAAAATCTGACATGGACTAATTAAATACAATAAAAACAGGTACTTCAAATTGTCAGTGAGTTGCTAAAGTTCTATTAGTATGCTATAACTCTGCATATTTCTAACTGCTAAAACTTCTATGGACATATTTTATGCTGAGAGCTTAGGCAGGGTTAGATAGGACAGCAAATAGTATCATGGCTTTCCTCAAACTATTTCGATTATTGACATAATAATAAAAGCATTTTTTTGCTTTTGTCTCATTACCCAAATCTGTATCAGTTTAAAGATTAGTCATATTATTAGCTAAGTAAAATCTTCTTTATCCAGGATGTCTAAAACAAAGGTCATTCCAAGTAAGGAAGTGTAATAGTTGTGATGTATGCAATTCTACCTCAGTTAACCCCGTATTAAAACACTGAAAGCTAACTCCCTATAAATCTATGCTACTCCTAATTTGGTTTGAAACAAGCAGCACAGGCATCACTAGAAAGTTTGTTAGAAATGCAGAGTGTCAAATCCCTCCCAGACCTACAGACTCAGAATTTGCTTTAACAAGATTCTCAAATGATGTACACTAAGGTTCACATGACCACGTTGGACAATTTGTATTCACATGAAAGTCTGCATGACCACCTTGCTAAATTCTCTAAATTTATCAAGTTACCAAAATTATGCTTTAAGGAATAGTGTTGAATTTATCTAATTAATATATTCAATACCTATATTATTCTTAGCATTTTTGTACAGTTGGTCAAAAGCTAAGGGTCATTGAATAGCATACTCTATTAATCTATTTTTATCAACATATTTAAGAGGAAGATAATTATTAATAAAATGAAGATTTAAATATATTCTCAAATGTAAATATATTAATAAAGGATATATTCATAAGTGTATTCATTTAATGTGTATTCTTAGTTTTTGAAAACAAGTAATATTTTTGGTAAATTGCTAAATTTGGTAAATTTGGAAAACTGGCCATTTGGTGAAATGGTCATTTGATAAATTAAGCTTTAGAGCAAATGGTATTGGTACATTGACTTTCAGTGATCAGCCTCTTCCAGTGGATAATACCTAGCATGGCAAATCTATCAGTATTTGAACTATACTTCTCTTTTTTCACTGTGGTTTTAAAACCACATAAGCTGATTAATATTTAGGGAATATTAAGTAGGATTAAGAGCAGACCTGGGTTTGAGTACTCAATCCACTCCCTGTATGATCTTGATTAAATTATTTAACTAAGACTATGTTTCCCTAGTCCACAGGACTCTTGTGTAATTAATAAAAATACAGAAGTCCCTGGTGTGTATTATTCTCAAGTTTTTATTTAAATTCCAGTTAGGAGGACATTAGGAGAAGGAAGGGGAAAAGGAAGGGGGGGGAATCAGAGGGGGAGACAAACCATGAGAGACTATGGACTCCGAGAAACAAAGTGAGGGTTTTAGGGGGGAGGATAATGGGGGGATGGGTTAGCCTGGTGATGAGTATTAAGGAGGGCACATACTTCATGGAGCACTGGGTGTTATATGAAAACAATGAATCGTGGATCACTACATCAAAAAACTAATGATGTATTGTATGGTCACTAATATAACATAATAAAATTAAATTAAAAAAATAAATTCCAGTTAGTTAACATACAATGTAATATTAGTTTCAGGAGTGGAATTTAGTGACATCACTTCCATACAACACCCAGTGCTCATCACAAGTGCCCTCCTTAATCCCCGTCACCTATTTTACCTATACCCCTGCCAACCTCCCCTCCAGCAACCCTCAGTTTGTTCTCTATAGTTAAGAGTTTGTTTCCTGGTTTACCTCTCCTGTATTTTTTTCCCTATGTTCATCTGTTTTGCTGCTTAGATTTCACATATGAGTGAAATCATATAGTGCATGTCTTTCTCTGACTGACTTATATCACTTAGCATATTACTCCCTAGCTCTATCCATGTCATTTCAAATGGCAAGATTTCAATCTTTTTGATGGCTGAGTGATATTTCATTTTATATATATACTACATCTTTATCCATGCATCAGTCAATGGACATTTGGGCTCTTTGCATAATTTGGCTATTATTGATAATGCTGCTATAAACATCGGGGTGCATGTGCCCCTTCAAATCACTATTTTTGTATCCTTTGGATAAATACTAGTAGTGCAATTGCTGGGTCATAGGGTAGTTCTATTTTTAACATTGTGAGGAACCTCCATGCTGTTTTCCAGAGTGGCTGCACCAGTTTGCGCTCCCACAGTGTAAGAAAGTTCCCTTTTCTCTGCATCCTTGCCAACACCTATTGTTTCCTGTGTTGTTAATTTTAACCATTCTGACTGGTATGAGGTGCTATCTCGTTGTAGTTTTAATTTGTATTTCCCTGATGATGAGTGATATTGAGCATCCTTTCATGTGTCAGCTATATGTATGTCTTCTTTGGAAAAATGTCTATAAATGTTTTCTGCCCATTTTTTTTTCTTCTGCCCATTTTTTTAATGGATTATTTGTTTTTTGGGTATTTAGCTTTATAAGTTCTTTATATATTTTGGATACTAACCCTTTACCAGATAAGTCATTTGCAGATATCTTCTCCCATTCTGTAGGTTGCCTTTTAGTGCTGTTGATTGTTTCTGCCTGTGAAGAAGCTTTTTATTTTGATGAGGTCCCAATAGTCTATTTTTGCTTTTGTTATCCTTGCCTCAGAAGACATATCCAGTAAGAAGGTGCTACAGCCAATGTCAAAGAGGTTACTGCCTGTGTTATCCTCTACATTTTTTATGGTTTCAGGTCTCACATTTAGGTG